GTGTAAGCATCCTAGGCTCGCCTTACCCCCTGCCTGCCCCTCCACTGTATAACCTCACCATGTACCTCACTCTCAGCCCTAGTACCATGGTATGGCTGCCTGGACAGGGGCCCTGGCACCATCTGGAAAACTCCCCAGTAGCCCAGCCAGTCCCGCATGCCCACACTGGGTTCAAGTGTGTGTGGGGCTCCTGCTTAGCTGTTCTGCAAGTAACTGCATCTGGCTAGGTGGCCCTTTCTGGGGCTTATTTGTGGGGTGTTGGTGGTGGATGAGCACAGAATCATGTGGCAGCCAGGTCCTCCCCGCAGGGAACCCACTCAAAGGAGTAGGCCAGGCCCCAGGCAATGTACCGCCTGCCAGAGACACTGCACCTACCAGCCTTCTGAACCCTCTCACTTCCCTCCCTTACAGCAAGGGCCAACACTGACCCTGCAGAGACTGGGAGATGGCTTCTGACGTAAGTGTGTGGGATTGCAGAGGGAGGGGAGTTGGGACATGGTGTGGGAGGAGGGATGGGTCTGTGTGATGGTTTAAGAGGACAGGAATGGGCCAGCAAGAGATGGATGGGGCAATGGGCCCACATGGTAGGTTTGCAAGGAGAGGTTAGGGGGATGGGCTGGGGTACTTATCTGTCAGGGGTGTTGGAGCTACCCAGCAGGGTGTCCAGGTTGGTGACAGGGCTTTGGATCACTCAAGCCTGGTAGTGCTGTGGGTAGCGGCCACTGAGGTGGCAGCTGATGAAGTCCCTGTGAGAGCCTCCTGGCAGTGGTTCAGTCTGCAGCACCTGCTCCACTACCAGCCATGGGGGCACAGCACAGCTGGGTCAGGGGTATCTCTGCAGGAACTGTCCCCCCTACTCAGGGCCCAGCCAGTTCGCAACGGGGTGTGCCTGGAAGAGCAAGCTCCTGGCTCTGGGAGCCTGCCCAGCTACAGGAGGCAGGGACTGGCCTGAGTATCAGGTGGCCTCAACCCTGCAATACCCCCATCCCTCCCTGAGTCCAGTGGCTTTTGCTTCCCCGAGCCCAGGGAAGCCCCTTCTTGTCTTCTCTCAGGATCTCCTGTTCTCCCTGAACCCAGCAGTCCCTCCAGAATCCAGGGAGGCAAGTTGCTGGCAGGCTGCTGCTGCCTTGCTTGTTCCCGTTGAACCCCTGCATCCCATGTCTAGTGCTTCAGCAGAACCCACTGCCCAGCTCAGGCAGCTCTGGCGAGCAGACAGGATGTTCAGGGAGCTGTGTGCCCCCTACTAGTGGCCCTGGCAGAGACAAAGGCCCCAGGAAGTGAGCAGAGCTGGCTGTGCTTGCCCTGGAGCCAGCTCAGAGGCTGTATCAATGGGGGCACAAGCAATACTCCTCTGTAATTCGAAAAACTTTAGTATCTTCCCAGGTTTTTATTTCTGAAGTGCTGAAGTGTCGCTTCATCCTGTATTTCAGCCTCTGGACTGATGCTTCCGACCAGTTTGGCAGCATAACATCCTTGGAGAAAAGGCACTGTAATTTTACCCTGAGGTACCTAGGCGAGGTGAACCACAGGTGGAGTATAGTGTTGACATTGCCTGGGTATCTCATGGCAAAAACTACAGTGTCTTGTCTCCACTAGGGGGTTTATGTCAGGATAGCTATGCACATTAGTTATCCTGTGGTAAAAACACATTTTTTGTAGTGAAGGCAAAGCCTCTGTATCTCAAGATACTGGACAAAAATCCTTACCAAGAATAGTAATTTTTAAAGCCTTTTTGAGCCACTGTTTAAATGTTTTTTTAAAATACGGACTAACAAGTCAAAACATGCTTTACAATCATATTTTGCCATGTCCTTCTCTCCCCTGTTCCTTTGTAGAAGGCCCATGTAAATGAAAGGACAAACTGGCTGGCTACATGGGGATAATAGATATGCCAAAGTGCTGCTTTCACAGCTCTAGCTGAGGACCCCCTCTTGGCCATTCACGAGACTGCTATGAGGGATCCAGCTGTTAAATCTCAGGGTGTTTTATGCTCCAGAGTCTGAGCAGAGTGCATTGCTATTCTCTTAGGATTTGTGGCCATGAGTTGTGGTGCAGATCCTCCATCTGGCACCCCCTGCTGAGAGCTGCGACCATATGGCCCCCTGTGTAGGCCCTAGAAGCAGTGCTAACCCTTCATCTTTCCCCAGTATTTTAAGCATGTCCTCTCCCAGAACTCCAGCTGTATGGTGGTCTGGGCCCACAGTTTACCTTTTCAAGGGATACATCGTATAGATTTAACTTTGGTGTTACAATCCTCTTGCTCGTTCTTTAGTAGCATGAGACATACACAGCTCTGTACAAAAATAATAAACTCCTTCACATGTTTCCCTGCCTTGGTTTCATCACCACGCTGGGGCATTCTTGGGCTGGGGTCAGAGTTATCTGTAGGGCCCTACCAAATTCACGGCCGTGAAAAACACGTCATGGACCGTGAAATCTGTATACAATAGAGTAAAAGCACATAAAAGACCAGATTTCATGGGGGGAGACCAGCGTTTCTCAGATTGGGGGTCCTGACCCAAAAGGGAGTTACAGGGGGGTTGCAATGTTATTTTAGGGCGGGTCGCAGTATTGCCACCCTTATTTCTGCACTGCCTTCAGAGGTGGGCAGTGGGAGAGTGGTGGCTGTTGGCCGGGCGCCCGGCTCTGAAGGCAGCGTCCCACCAGCAGCAGTGCAGAAGTAAGGGTGGCAAAATCATACCATGCCACTCTTACTTCTGCATTGCTGCCTTCAGAGCTGGGTGGCCAGAGATTGGTGGCTGCTGACCAAGGGCCCAGCTCTGAAGGTAGTAGTGCAGAAGTTAGTGTGACAATACCATACCATGCCATCCTTAGTTCTACACTGCGGCTGGCAGTAGCTCTGCTTTCAGAGTTGGGCTCCCAACCAGCAGCTGCCACTCTTTGGCCACCCAGTTCTGACAGCAGCGCCGCAACCAGCAGCAGAGCAGAAGTAAGGGTAGCAGCACTGCAACCCCTCCTACAATACCCTTGCGACACCCCTCCCCCCCAACTCCTTTTTGGGTCGGGACTCCTACAATTACAACTTCGTGACATTTCATATTTAAATAGCTGAAATAATGAAATTTATGAGTTTTAAAATCCTGTGACAGTGAAATTTACCAAAATGGACTGTGAATTTGGTAGGGCCCTAATTATCTGGGACATCCAGGGACCTTCTGCTGCAGTGCATGGCTTCAGTTCTGAAATATAGAGCCTTCTTCCCCAGCTCAATTTCTGTGACTTTTGTTGGTCCATTTTCCTTCCTCTCTCCTGCACCCTACACATCCTGTGTCTCTCTCCATCTTCCCCTTACTTCCCAGACTTTTTTAAATTCCTGGTTTGTCACCTCTCCCTTTTTGTCCTACTCCTGGTAACTTTCCACTATCTTCATTTCCCCCTTCCTACACACAAGTAGGAGGAAGTATCTTCGCTCAGCTCCAGCAAACCTTCTTAGCATATCTATTGTCTGGTCAAAGCACAGTTGGTAAAGTTATATCCTGTCCATTGTCTTGTGGGTACTTGCCAGGTCCTGTTAGCCTATGGTGGATATGCATAGCTAGAGGTGAATTCCATGGAACAGCATTTTTCATAGCAACAACTTCATAAAATCCTATTTAAAATCAACCAGAATTCATAAGTTGTACGGAGCGTCCCCAAACCATCACAGGTGCAAATGTATAAAATAAATAAACTGAAAAATGTGGTTTCTGGATTTGATCTTCCTCCCAGTTTGAGTGCTGCATCTCTCTCAGGCCTGTCATTAGGGGGAGGTATTGGGAGGTGGTTGCCTGACGGTCAGTCCTGTCTGCTAACTCAGCAAGTAACAGCACTGCCAGAGCTCAGCTACCTATCCATGTAGCCTCCAACACCATCTCTACTACCATCCCACACTCGTTCAGCTTCCTCACCCCCTTCTTACTCCCTGACCTCGTGTTCTGCTGCCAGAACAGCCTTCAATCCATTCTTGCTTCTAGCAGCTGCTTACCAGCTACCTGAGAGTACTTGCGTGCTTTTCTTCCCATTTCTCTCTTAATAGTCTCAGAACTTCCTTACCTCCCTCCCCCACTTGCTGACCCCTAGGACTCCTCTCCCACATTCTGCTTTCTTAGTGAGTGGGTAGAGAAAGCAAGTAAGCATGAATGAGTCAGAGAAAGTGCATCCGTTCATACCCCACCACCGTCTGTCACACTTTCACTTGTTCTCTTAACTATCTCTCGCATGCAAAATAACGCATGTTCTCTTTGGCCATCGTAATTGCCCATGCTGATACATGCTTGCAGCCCATCATACCAATGTTGGTGGGGGGATAAGGGAGATAGACATTGTAGGAGTGGGAGGAAGAACAAATGTAAATTGCCTTATATTAATTAAATACAAGAAATTGCACTTGTCATCAACTTCTCTGAGTGAGAGGTTGGGGCATTTTACTCTTCCGTGGCAGGATGACATTTTACCTAGATTGCTCTCTCTTCAGTGAGCCAGTATCCATGACCTTCTGGAATGTATCCATTCCAGATGGCCATGAATATTCTCATACTGGCTCTTACTTTTAGAGATTATTTCTTTACAGGAATATATATAAAATAGGAATGGTGAAACTTGTTGGAATGATGTGGTATTCTTAGAGGTGGTCTATGCATATTTCCTCTTGTGGGATACAACTCTTGCTGCTCCTGAGCTTCAGGAACTTTCTGAAAAAGCAGTGCCCAATGGGGCTGCATGAATGCCCTTGTCTGGCACCGAACACTTGGAACAGGAATTATAAAGGGTCATGTGGTCCTCAGCTGCCTCAGTTCCTTCCTTTCCACAGCTAGTTGCCTTCATCAGGATCTTCTTTCTTTGCTTAGCATATTGACCAGACTTTGTGCTTACTGCTAAAACTTTTGGGTAGTTTTTACTTTGGTCCTCCATGGTTGAACAGTAAGGTTCCTAGATGGGGTCAGTTCTTTGGCAGGATGAATATGCTCAGCGCACAACACTGACTCATGTTTTCCTTATAGGTATATCCGACTATATGGGAGAAAATTTAGCAAAGAAGATCATGTGCTTTTTATCAAGTTGCTGTATGAGTTGGTAACAATTCCAAAGCTGGAGATCAGCATGATGCAGGGATTTGCACGTCTATTGATAAACCTGTTAAAGTAAGTACATTTTGCTAGCATTCTTCTACTTAAATATTTACATCCATAAATTGGACATTTGATCCTTGGCCTACAGTATAGTTAACTGCATTGTTTGTCCCTGTACAAATTACGTCATTTGCTCTTACCCTGCACAGATCTTTGATAATGGAGGGAAATTTGAGAAAAACGGTCCCTTTTTGAGGCTTGATTTCAATATTGATCAAAGAGCTAAATATCCTATGTTAGTTTTGCTTTTCTTGATATAGAAATCCTATAAGAAGATGGAGATCTCCAAAAATAATATGGTCTGAGAACTAAAGTTTAAGAGGAACAATTAAGAGATGTGTGTGTCACATGTCATTGAAAGTATTTATTAATGAGTGATATAACTGCACTTGGCAATTTTTTTGTAGAGACATTATGGATGTCTTCGCAAAAAGAAAAGGAGTACTTGTGGCACCTTAGAGACTAACAAGCCACAAGTACTCCTTTTCTTTTTGCGAATACAGACTAACACGGCTGTTCCTCTGAAACCTGTCATTATGGATGTCTTGAATCCCAAAAAGAATGCTTGTAAATGAATAGTGTTTGGCATGCCATTAGTAGCAATAATGTGGAAAAAAGACAAATGTATGTTCAAATAACTTTCTGCTGTTCAGTTTTTAGGTATTCTAATGTATGCTGTGTGCTGGTAAGGACAATGTTTAATCCCGAAGTGCACTTCATTTCTTAAATTAGGAAAAAAGAACTTCTTTCAAGAGATGATTTGGAGTTACCATGGAGACCACTTTATGAAATGTTGGAGAGGATATTGTATTCCAAAACAGAACACCTTGGATTAAATTGGTTTCCTAAGTAAGTTTTATTGTAGTTTATTGAAGTAATTGCTTTGGTTTAAAGGGTCTTTAGAACACTGATAATGTGGTTGAAGATTATTTTTTAATATTTAGATCTTGATATATAGCAAATGAACAAATATATATCTAGACTTTTTATACATTCATGGAAGTAAAGGTTAAAAAAAAGACCTATCATCTTGCACATCCCTCTGACAGTGAATAATTATTTGTTATGATATTTCTTTATTTTTCATGTACTCTATAAAGTTCAGGTTTAAGTATGTCAAGTCATGGATCTTCAACCTCTTCCATTGGGAAAATAGACCACAGTCTAATTAATAAACTTCAGTGATAATTTTTTTTTTAAATCCTTTGTTTAATTCCATCTCACAACAAGTTAGGGGAAAAAAGTGTCTCTCTTACACAGACACAAAATATGAAATTTACATGTAAAATGCCTGGGTCACACACAGAGAAACCAAATGTTTTCCGTTGCGGAAGATTATATATTCATTTATACATCAAAAATGCTAATACAGTAATGTGGGCAAATGCAATTATTCTACAAAGTTAATTTGTTTACTAAAACTTTTATTTTTAAGGGGAAAGAAACTTTGAAAATGTCTAAATCGCACATTGCTTTTTCATAAAGCAAATATGCACTGTGTGAAGTGTGGTTATAGAGGACATTAATATGTAATGTTTTCTTGGTATCCACACTCAAAAATTGCAAACCATTCTCAATTCATGTATACACAAATCCTGAAATTTGGACGTCACCCATACAGAGGTCTGTGTATTTACAGTAAACATAAAGCACAATTGGTATTTATCAGTCCATTGCGTATACAGATCATTTTAACCTCTCTGTCCTATCATAAACTTGTTGCCTATTTTGCAGCCATGCAGTGTGCACAGACTTCACAACTCCATCTATGGCTACCTATTGAACTTTCCGTTCTTCTTTGTCAGATAAAGGTTCAAAGGTCCCTATGTTACATTTTTTTGATTTTTCTCTATCCAATTTCCATTATTTCCTATTTATACAAGCAGAATAGAGTTAGCTGAAATTTTTCAGGAGGGTGCTGCTAATGTTGTGGAAACCCCATTTTTCGATGGGAAACACTAACCTCAACTTTTGAAAAGTTAGTGAGTGGCACAGTTACATTTCATTTTTTCTATTAAAAATTTCTCCAACTTTGGAAAAGTTAGAGTTCAAAAAGGAAATGGAGAGGAAAAAGTGAAGGAAAAGCCCAAGATTATAATCATTTTATTGCATTCAGTGGCCAAAAAAAAAGGGGGGAGGAATAAAAGAAATGAGGGAGGGAGGAAGGAAGAAAAACAAATTCAGAACTTTTTGACAAAAAACTACAGCTTGAACTGAAATTTTTCTACTTTTGAGTTAAAAATTCTCATTTGAAATTTTTCATAGGAAAAAAAGTTTTTTGATCAGTGATAGTTGTAAATGAGACACACTTTTTCATAAATTTCGAAAAGGACCCTGCCTATGATCTGTGTGTCATGAAGAGAAAACAATCAAATTATTTGTGTAATTATATTAGGGGAGACTTCCCTCTGAGATCTTCTGATAATTATATATAGTCTGAAAAAATATTCTATTAAAGGGAAATGGCCAAATTTAAAAATTTGCTCTTCTCTCTGAAAATAGTTTATGTACTGTTTTTTCAAGTAACACCTAAAGGATTACTCTATCTAAAAGGTCAGAGGAAAAAATGTAATTAGTTATGGATTTGCCAACACCTAGTGAAACTGACTATATGCAATTTGCCCCGTTGAGTCAATTAGTCTGTTTTTCCTTTGCTGTGTGAAAAACCCACACAATAAATGGAGAGAGAAAATTTGGAGGGATGGGGGGCTGTAAAAGCACAAAAATTGGAAGGAAGATTCCAAATGGAGGTGATATATCAACCTTTGCTTTTAATTGACTAGATTTGAAGTTTATGGTATCCCGTTTACTATGCAGTGCGATGTGTTCTCATATGGTGTTTTTGCAACATTGTTGAAATTTTCAAATTTGAGTGAATTCCTTCTGCTGTATATGAAGGGATAATTATTTAAATATTGCCAGGATCATTTAAATACTTTCTACCTTTAGAGTTACTCTTATACTATATTTGTTGATAGAACTGTTGTTTTCCATGTCATGTTTTACATCTTTCTTTTTTACATTCAGTTCATATCGACCAGGCTTGTCTTCACCTAAAACATTTGTGCTTAATGTTTTACATAGGTGGTAAGGATAATGTTTTTTTGTTCAGCTCTGGCCGATGTGTTATCTTCTGCATGTTCTGTTAGACTGTAACACATGTCACACAGGTGTAACTTTCTGCATAAATAATTGTATTGGAAATCCAATGTTAACATTACACCACTATTTATGAGAATGTCGCACTGTATTTAAACCTTTCTAATTGTGGAAAAATATACTGTGTGTGATGTGGCTGAGAAAAATGGCTATCTGCTAATTATTTTAACCAACAAACATCAAAGGGTACAACACGAGGTGATTTTAATGTTTGAATAATTATTACTTGGAATATGGACAAAATGTATATTTACATAGCTTTAGAAATGCATGTCTCTTAAATGAATTTAACTTTACTACAAAACATTGAAGTTTGTGGAAAGTGGTTGAGAGCAAGGACAGTGGTACCAGAAACCACATTAAGGAGAAAAATAAAGTAGAAAAGGCAGTATGAAACAAATGCGCCGAGCAGCCTGACAGTTTTGGCTTCTCCGGATTTTTGTCAGTGAAAATTATTTTTTAAAACAGGTTATGAAAATGTAGCAGAAATTTGTACGTACATAAGTATAAAATACAATAACCTTCAGAAAGAAATTTTAGTACTGCATTATTTACTCTGAGGAATCATAGAAATATAGGACTGGAAGGGACTTTGATAGGTCATCTAGTTCAGTCTCCTGCACTAAGGCAAAACTAAGTATTATCTAGAGCAGGGGTTCTCAACCTTTTTCTTTCTGAGGCCCCGCCAACATGCAATAGAACTCCACAGCCCACCTGTGCCATAACAACTGTTGTTCTGCATATAAAAGGCAGGGCTGCCATTGGGGTAGGAAGCAGGGCAATTGCTTGGGCCTTGGGTGGTGGGGCTCAGCGTCCCGGGCTGCAGTCCCTTGTGGTGGGGCTTTGGTTTTCTGCCCTGGGCCCTAGAGAGTCTAATGCCCACCATGCTTAGTGGCCCCCTAAGGGGCCCTGGATCCCTGGTTGAGAGCCATTGATCTAGACCATCCCTGACCGATGTTTGGAGGTTTTTAAGAACAGGTTAGACCAGTGGTTTTCAAACTGCAGGTCTCGACCCAGTACTGGGTCATGGAATGTAAGGCACTTGGTTGCGGTGGCTCTGGTCAGCACCGCCGACTGGGCCATTAAAAGTTCCGTGGGCAGTGCTGCCTGGCTAAGACAGGCTAGTCTCTACCTGTTCTGACACCGCACTGTGCCCCGGAAGCTAACTGGGAGCTGCCTGAGGTAAGCCTGTGCCCCAACCCCACACCCCAATCCCCTGCCCCAGTCCTGAGCCCCCAACCCGGAGCCCCTTCCTGCATGCCCCACCCCACAGCCCTCACCCCTGCACCCTAACCCTCTGCTCCAGCCCTGAGCCCCTCCCACACCCCGAGCCCCTCATCCCCTGCTCCATTGGGTCGTGGGCATCAACAATTTTCTTCAGCTGGGTTGCCAGAAAAAGAGTTTGAAAACCACTGTGTTAGACCAGGGGTGGTCAAACTTCCTGACCGTCCGAGCCACATATGACAATCTTCAGAATTTTGAGAGCCAGGTCATGCCTGCTGGGGCGTGGGGCTTTCAGCCCCGCAGGAGGCGCCAGCCTCGCTCTGGATGAAGCCCTGAACCCCGGCAGGCGCGCCCCGCAGGTCTGAAGCCCCAAGAGCCACTTCCCCACTGGGCAGAAGCTGAAGGGGACATGTGGGGGGAGCACGTGTAGGGTCACATATCCTCCCAGATTTTGCCGGAGTTTGCTAGCCCTGCTCGTTCACATGGTGCTGCCAGCCTCCTCCCTTCACAGCAGCTGCTGGAGCCTTCCAGCTAGGAGCTGCTGCCATGGGGAGAGGCAGTGGCAAACAGCTGAGAGCTGCAGGGAGAGCAGAGCTGCTGCTTTTGCTGCTGCCTCTCCCCATGGAGCTAAAGCAGTGGCCCCTCCCTGCAGCTCCCAGCTCTTTGCTGCTACCTTTGCATGGGGAGCTAACACATGGGAGCTGCAGGGAGGGGCCACTGAAGATAAGAGGGTGTGTGTGCCTGGGAGGGCCTGACTCAAGCTGTTGGGAAGGGGGCACATGTCCTCCACTCTCAGCAGGCAGCAGTCATCTCTGGCAGAAGCCCCTAGCCCCATTACCCTGCTGCAGGGTAGAGGCCCCACTCTCCCCCTGGGGCAGGTGAAGAATGGGGAGGGCCTGGGGGGCTCCGTGAGCTGCACTTTAACTGTTAAAGAGCCGCATGCGGCCTGTGAGTTGCAGTTTGGCCACTCTTGGGTTAGACGATGGAGATTTCACAGCCTCCCTAGGTAATTTGTTCTAGTACTTAACTACCCTTACAGTTGGGAAGTTTTTTCTAATATCTTACCTAAATCCACTTTGCTGCAATTTAAGCCCATTACTTCTTGGGGCAATGCAGTGTCTGTGTAGACACTGTGTTATTACATTAGCTGTTGGCTGCTTTTTAATCAATTTTATGGCTCCATGCTGCAGTTGTGAAATTGACAAGAAAGTTCTCCCCGCTCCCAGCCAGACTGCTGCCTTCTGCCCAGGCTTCCCGCTCCGAGCCGGGCTGCCTAGGCAAGCTGCTACCCAGTCTCCCTGCTTGAAGCCAGGCTGTTCCTGGCGTCCTGGCTCCCTGCCAGGGGCCCGGCTGCATCGAGGCTTCCACCTCCCTTCTCCCTGTTGGGAGCCTGGGTGGCTGCCCTGCCCTTGGCAGGGAGGCGAGATTCTGGGTGGCTGCAGGGGAGGGAGCAGGGAACCTAGAGTGAGGATGCACACCACTGATTGAAGGAGGGTAGTATGGACATGGACCACCGCAGTAATTACTAGATTTGGTTGACTTAAATTTTCAATGTAGACATGCCCTTTAGCACCTTTCTCTGCAGTATTTGATACTGGTCTGGGGTGTTGGCAGGTTACTGGACTAGCTAGGCCATAGGTTTGATCCATAGTGGCAGTTTTTTAATGTATTTGATGCTTTCTGTCCTGGATCATATTTAGTGTTACAGCTGCATACAAAAATCTGCTAGCCTGGTAAATATGAATATTGTAAACAGTTCTCCATCCCAGTCTGTAAGGAATCTAAATAAACATTGAGAAACAAACACAAGCCACTAGTCAGAGGCTCGAGGCAGAGTTTGTGTCTAGTTTTGGTCCCCCCCACTACAGAAGGGATGTTGACAAATTGGAGAGAGTCCAGCAGAGGGCAATGAAAAAGATTAGGGGGCTGGGGCACATGACTTATGAGGGGAGGCTGAGGGAACTGGGGTTATTTAGTCTGCGGAAGAGAAGAGTGAGGAGGGAATTGATAGCAGCCTTCAATTACCTGAAGGGGGGTTCCAAAGAGGATGGAGCTATGTTGTTCTCCGTGGTGGCAGATGACAGAACAAGAAGCAATGGTCTCAAGTTGAAGGGGGGAGGTCTAGGTTGGATATTAGAAAACATTATTCACTAGGAGGGTGGTGAAGCACTGGAATGGGTTACCTAGGGAGGTGGTGGAATCTCCATCCTTAAAGGTTTTTAAGGCCCTGCTTGACAAAACCCTGGCTGGGATGATTTAGTTGGTGTTGGTCCTGCTTTGAGCAGGGGGTTGGACTAGATGACCTCCTGAGGTCTCTTCCAACCCTAAAATTCTATGATTCTATGAAAAAGTGCTTTATCCATTTTATATTCTTTTCTGTGAGTTTAAGTGGAGTCTTATTTCCTTTCTGTGGGACTTGTCAGATGTACAGTATAGTGTTTACATGGAGAGCACAGAAGGTATTTTAGCTGGATATCTGAACTTTTACTGGACACTGATCTCTTTATCCTGAGCAAGGCTCCACTTTTATCTCTTATTTTTTGGAATCGTGAGGGTAGGCATACAGTATTTGTTTTACTTTTAAGCAGTGGGTAAACTACATGTACAGTACAATGATGTTCTGAGTTCATAGAATATTTTTATTCAGAGAATGGCCTCTGACCAAAATGCAATCTAGCAACTGTCTACTATTGTATTTACTGAAATTAAATGTTAATTACAAAGCCATGTAAAAAGTAAAAACAGATTGCCTGTCATAGTGCCATTGATACATGATTCTCCCTTCCTCATCTTTTTGAAAGCATTTACTATTTTGCTTCAATTTTAAAAAATAGTTTGACAGAATTAGATGTTACACGTGTGAAGAAGCTTCATGTGAAAATTGCTATTAAAAACAGTCATTGTTACTCTGATAAAAACAATGTTACCCATAGCTAGGAAAACTTGTTCAGTCAGCTGTTGCTAAGTGTCAGGGAAACTGTAGAAATAACTAGTGAGTTACAGTTAATTCATTTCTTTTGTTTGGTTAGGGATGTATACAAATGCATTAGATTCGATTATGCATAAACAAAAACCAAATCTAAAAAAATAGTTAAGGATTTGGAGTCTGAAAGGTACTGAAATATACTGCCCTTCATCTATCTTAAAACTTAACACTCTTATTGTATGATTTTTTTTCTATTATAGTTTCAAGTATCCATAAAAACTGTGTTGATTCTGCTTGTTAGTCCATAATAGAATGCAAGATATTATTCTTTAATGTGGTACTAGTTTTTCACTCTGATTGAAGTACAGTGAATACTAGAGAGGAGTAAGGAGTAGAATCAGAAATTAAAGCAGTTTTAATCCTTGCGATTAGGTCTGTATGGAACAGAAGGATTAGCCATTGCATGTACACAGATGGTGTCTAATTGCATCAATACCATCTTAGATTTTAAACAATCATAAACTGACTGTTGTAATTACATTAGTCTATTTCAAGTACAGCTTCTAATTTTCTTTTTCATTTTTGTTTCAGTTCTGTAGAAAGCGTTCTAAAAACACTTGTGAAAAGTTGTCGACCGTAAGTTCTTAACTATTTTCTAATCTTTCTGAAGCACATGCCTTTAGTATTTCTTTTCTGGAACGTGTTAGGTGCTTGGGGGTACTTTATACTGTCTGTGCTATTTTTTTTAAAAGTGTAAGCTTTCTGATACCCCCTCTCTCTTTCCAACATAACATTTAGCATTTATAGTTGAAGTTCCAAAGTTGAATTATATTTGGTACTTTATATTTGATAAAAGCCTTTGTTCTAGTGAAAAATCACTTGCTAATATTTTCTGTACAAGGCTCCTGTTTTATGGAACTAATTTTATTTCATCATTTTAAACCCATATGATACTTTTTTTTTATTATTTGAACTGAAGTGATGCAAATACATCAAGTTTCTATTATTTCTTCTCTGGAAATATTGTTTAACTTAATCTTTCAAGTGTGTGTTATCTGCTTAACAGAAATAAGCTTAATAAATTCTTGCTTCCCTAGTCCTGCTATCCTGAAAGTTGACACCATAATGGAAAGGTCTGATGCTTTCCTTGATACAATTTAGAGTAATTTTTTAAGTTAGAGGTTAAAAGACCTATTTTTGGGCCTACTTATGGAAGGGAGTGGGGCAGATGGGAGGAGGAAAAAGAGTGTAAAACATTATTTTTATAAATTTTGGAGTCCTTATTAATAATTTTTCTACAGCTCTTGCCTCAAATGTATCAATTTGAGTGATCTTTTACCTTTAAGAGAGATTTTTTAGTGTCCTCAACCACATGTATGAGCTGATGATTCCTGTGGTATGTTTTTATAGTAACATGTTTAAAGTGAAATCAAAAGGGCAATAACTAAGGGTAGCACTCTGCACAATGTTGTGTGTGTTTTTAAAAATACACTCTTTTCTTCTAAGCTGAAACCTTAATTGAAAACCAATAAAAAGTTAAGTAGAAAGCCACATAGCTTTTTTTTTTTTTTTTTTAGCCAGGATATTATAAAATAGATCCTAAACCAATCTTTGTAATCTGTAACCATGATTTTGTCTTTTCCATATCACCTCAGTCATATCCACTACCCACAGTGTATATGTCCTCACCCTGGTCTAGAGTTTTATATAGTGCTCTGTACTAATTGACTTATAGGAGTCTGGGATATACAAGGAATGCAGTTGAGAGGTCTGGTAGCTCTTCTCTGGCCTACGTGAAATATTGATATTCATTGTCCACTTTCATGTGAGCAGGTGATCCACATTATAAAACCATTGCCACATCTGGCATCTGTTAAGTATTATTGGCAGAGACACCAAGGTTTGAATGGCTACCTAGAGGTAATCACCCCAAGTTGGTGTTGAGAAGCGTTGGCAGGGTGAGGGAATTCTGCACTGACGCTGGTTGTGCAGTGCCATTTTTTTTGGATAAATGAAGGAATTTGGCTTTTAGGGTTGACAATCTAAGTTTCCTCTAAGCTGTGCAGCTGCACAGCTGCCTATTAAGCCCCACGCAGGGGTTCACGGTTGCGACGGGGAGAGGCGCTCCTCCCCGCCAGCCCCAGCAGGTACCTGCCCTGGACTTGCCACTCCCAGGGGAGAGGAGCCCCTCCCTCGGCCCGTCCCAGCCCGCTGGAGCTGCCACGGCCGGGGAGAGATGCCTCTCACCAAGCCCCGAGCTGCTGTGGCGAGAGAGGGCTGGGGGGGAATCCTCCTCACTGCAGTCCCGGGACAGCCTGTACCCCAGAGCCCGCAGCCCCCTGCATCCCAACACTGTGCCCCAGCTCTGAGCCCCTGCCCACACCCCAAATCTCTAATCCCCGGCCCAACCACAGAGACCCCCCCCCGCACTCCAACCCTCTGCCCCAGCCCTGAGCCCCCTCCCACACCCTGAACCCCTTATCTCCAGCCCCACCCCAGAGCCTGCACCCCCAGCCAGAGCCGTCATCCCCTGAACCCTCTGCCCCAGCCCTGAGCCCTGTCCCACACTCCGAACCTCTCGGCCCCACCCCCACCGCATGGATTTTGTTATGTGCACCAATATGAAGGTGATGTGTCACACATCACTTCCATATTGGTGCATATAACAAAATTCATTCCGCACATAAAAATAAAAAATTAGAGGGAACATTGCTGACAATTTAACATCTTTTATTAGCATCAAATTTACATTTAATGTATAATGCATGTTTTTAGTTCAAAATTAAAATGTGAAATTTGATTTAACTTCTGGAAACTCTTTACTCTAAATTTTGCATGGGTGAAGTTGCAGGAATTGGTGGCATGGCTTTTAAGTAGCCATATTTTATTGCAGTAGCTTTTTTATATAAACTAATGCCTCTTCTGACTATGGAACAAATTCTAAACACTAATTTTACATGAGAAAGCAGCTCCTTCTTAAAAAAGTTCCATATTTGTTATAGGGCTATTCTAGTCTTCCAGATGCACTTTATTAGGAGGAATCAGAACATTAGCTCTACTTCCATTAAGATCGGTCTTTAATGTAAATATCCGTTATTTGATCTCACACAATCTTTACATTGAAGTGGTTCTGTATCATGAGGATTTTTTTAGTTGTAATAAGAGTAAGAAATTTTATTACAGTTGCACACTTTGTGGAAATGATCCATATTTTCAGTCATCTCATCCTTCAGACTTTTATTTTTTTTTATTTTTTTTTGGAGGCTGAGTGAGGCTGAGGATTTATTTGGTTACTGGTCTGATTCTTATCTCTTTCTTTCTAACAATATGGCCCTTACACCATAACATCTCAGTGCACAATTTAGCTGTAAAATTTAAATTCATGGCAAAAATAAATAAATGAAGTGAAAATTAAGACTTCCCCTTTTTTAGGTATTTTCCAGAAAATGCCTCCACGGAGATGCTAGATGAATGGCGGCCTTTAATGTGCCCATTTGATGTTACCATGCAAAAGGCCATCACCTATTTTGAATTATTTCTACCCACTTCCCTTCCTCCAGAACTTCACCATAAAGGTTTTAAGTAAGTATATCTCAAAATGTTAGTTATTTTTGTTCTTTGTTGGGTAATACCACATTACATGGCCAAGGCATTGCCTGTTAATTGGTGGTTTATGAAGTTGCGCATCATGCAAATAGATTCATATATCGGTTCTGATAAATATGTATATCTGGTACTCGTCTTTTGAAATTGCATTGTAATGAACATCGTTCTAGGAGTGCATCTAACAGTTGTAATTTTGCTGCTTCAAAACAGTTCTTAGAATAGTTGAAAATTGTAAGCCTTTGACTTCTAGGGCAGGGAAGTAGGAGCTACCTTTGTTGTAGAACATGAGCTGTTACTTATGTTTCCAACCATCCATTTCTTTCTCCATAAGAAAAATGGGAAGAGCTCCCCAGGGTCACTGCTCTTTCCTTTCAACTCTTCCTTCATTACACTGCATGCTTCTTGGTATCTTGTTACCATTATTTAAAAAAAAAAAAAAAAGTGCCTTTTTCTGAATTTACATGAAATATACAACTTTAACATTTCTAGTGATGTACCTTGGTTGGCAAGGCTACAGGCTTCGGTGATGTTGGCCCCCAAAGGGAGTAGAACTTTTAGTGAACCAGGGTCAAGTGTTCTCAGTGGGCATCAAGACTTTGCACTAGTGCTAACTGCTTTAACGTAGACTGTGCCAGGTCTGTGCTTTAGCACTCTCTCATTATCGAGCTGCACTGTTAAGTCAATGAAATGCATGTCCTCACTGCATCAAATGAATACATTACTGGGGTTGGACACTGAATTGAAGTCTTCACTGTAGAGTACAGATTTTTGGCCAGCCTTTAGTGGCCATTATTTGACCACTGTGGCCTTACATGGTCGTCTTTTGACTCCTGGGCACGGACTCTTCATGACTCTAGTTATGCAGTTCCACTTAGCATTGATGCTGGTAACTGAGGCTGAGAGTTCTTGGATTACTTGTGCAGCCTGACGATCCCTTATCAGCACATTGCTTGAAGTGTATTCAAGTTCATCTTGCATCATGCCAGTTGAAGCTTGGTTCTGTTGCAGAATCCCCGTGGAGTTCTCTGAGCAATGGGGTATGCTGACTGTCACCATCTAGATCTGTACTCCAGGCCTTAATGTGTGAGGAAATTGTGTATGTACTGAAGCTCCCAAGGCATTCTGTGTGACTTAACTTGGGTGTATCTGGATTTGATGCCTACTGTAGCACCAACAATGAAGAGTCCTTGTGGCACCTTAAAGATGATAAATTTATTTGAGCATAAGCTTTCGTGGGCTAAAACTCGCTTCATCAGATGCATGGAGTGAAAAATACAGTAAGCAGAATATATATTATAGCACATGAAAAGATGGGAGTTGCCTTCCTAAGTGGGAGGTCAGAGCTAACAAGCCAATTCAGTTAAGGTGGAAGTTGCCTATTCTCAACAGCTGACAAGAAGGGGTGAATACCAGGGGAGGGAAAATTACTTTTTGTAGTGACCCATCCACTCCCAGTCTTTATTTGGGCCTAATTTGATGGTGTCCAATTTGCAAATTAATTCCAGTTCTGCAGTTTCTCATTAGAGTCTGTTTTTGAAGTTTTTTTGTTGAAGAATTGCCACTTTTAAGTCGTTATTGAGTGTCCAGGGAGATTGAAGTGTTCACCTACTGGTTTTTGAATATTACAATTCTTGATGTCTGATTTGTGTCCATTTATTCTTTTGCGTAGAGACTGTCTGGTTTGGCCAATGTACATGGCAGAGGGGCACTGCTGACACATGATGTTTTTATGGAGACGTTTTAGTTGGGGGCTGTAGGTATCTGACCTAAATAGGGAGGGAGGGTGCGTGCTGTCCAAGGACCCTAAGCTATTTTAGCTTTCCCTATGAATACTGAAATTAGTTCCACTGACGCCTGTACTTATCAGGTGTCTGAGTGGCTTACTGCATTTGAAACTGCCCATAGACACTGAAGCGGTGGGTGCTGCAGGGGAAAAAATGGGGGAAAAGGGGGAAAAATGGTGGGTGCTGAGCATCCACCGGCAGCCCCCCTACGAGCTCTTCCCCCTACCCCCAGCTCCTCCGACCTACAGCAGGGAGAGGTGGGGTGGAGGGGGTGAAGAGGCACGATGGGGTCTTGGGGGAAGGGATGGAATGGGGGTGGGGCCTGGGACAGAGCAGGGGGTCGAGTGCCCCTCAGCGCTTTGGAAAGTCAGCACCTGTGAAATTGCCCATTAAAAAGTCTCTGGTTACGTGTGATATTAAGTTGGTCATTAGAAAACTGATGAAACCTCTTGAATTTCTTTGTTACATGGAAGCAGTGACTTCAGTGAGTTAGCTTGAGGTGTTACTGACTTCCACCCCACCCTGTTTTAAAAGGGTAGTGTGATGATATTTGGTTATCCTAAATTCTTCCCCAAAGTGGTGTTGGAGTTCTCCCTTAAACAGTCAGTCTTCCTGTCAACATTCTCCCCAAGACTGAAGGCACTTCCTGGGGAAACTGTTCTCCATGAACTTGATGTGAAAAAAAGAAAAGGAGTACTTGTGGCACCTTATAGACTAACACATTTATTTGATCATAAGCTTTGCATCCGATGAAGTGAGCTGTAGCTCACAAAAGCTTATGCTCAAATAAATGTGTTAGTCTCTAAGGTGCCACAAGTACTCCTTTTCTTTTTGCGGACACAGACTAACGCGGCTGCTACTCTGAAACCTGTTGATGTGAAAAGATTATCTGAAGTGGATAAGAGCTCACAGTACACACGTGTCAAATTCATTCTGTGAAGAGAGCCATACTGCATTTTTTTATGGGGTCTGTGAACTGCACTTATGTTGTTCAGGGTCATACGCTACCCTCTATCCACAGCAGATCTCCTATTGATAACAATGGGCGTTTTGCATAAAGACTGAAGGAGAGTATGGCTCTTATGGAATAATAACTGAACTTCAATAACTGAACATTACTATTTTGTTTGAAATCGCTCAGTGGTGGTGGGAAATGAGGCAGAGCAATTTAGGTAATTTGCATGTGCGGTTACCCAACTTCTGAATACAGTTATGGTAATTTTGCAAGTTAGGGGCACAGATATGCCTCTGATTATTTGATAAACTTGCTTTTAGTGACATCAGGTGTCACTGAAATGAATTGGATCTCAGAGCTGTTTCAGGCTGTCACTGGAAGTCTTATCTAAATGGCTGTTGGATTGCATATCCCATTGCTATTCCTTTTCAAGCCTACCACTTCAAGGTCCTATTGAAGCTGTTGCTCCAGCCAGCCTCTGAGCAGGTCTTGACCAGAAGAATTTGCAGCACAGCCACCCCCCCCCTTTTTTTTTAAACTATTATTGTTATCCAGATGTATATTACCTTATTTTTCCAGACCTTGCTGATGTGGGTCTCTGTAGATGACTCTGTGTTTACACCTATAGTGACATCCTTTTTTGTTGTTGAGCATCTAAAAGTATGCATCTACTGTAAGGCAGCTGCTGTTGAATAAGGGAATTTCTTGTAATTCTTTCTTTCTGAAGGTGTTTTGTGTTATTGATCTCTGCTCAGCCACCTCAGAGTTGGATTTTTCAACTACCTTGTAAATTAAGTACACTTCAGTCATTTATTAATCTTACCATTTTTTTGATGAAAGCAGAGAATATTGGAAACACTAAGGTTAGCTAAGTTACAGCAACAGAGTTGGCATGCATTATAGCCTCTTGGAAGCCAGTGGTTTAGAATTTTATGTTATGGTAAAAAGAAAAGGAGTACTTGTGGCACCTTAGAGACTAACCAATTTATTTGAGCATAAGCTTTCGTGAGCTACAGCTCACTTCATCGGATGCATACTGTGGAAAGTGTAGAAGATCTTTTTATATACACACAAAGCATGAAAAAATACCTCCTCCCACCCCACTCTCCTGCTGGTAATAGCTTATCTAAAGTGATCACTCTCCTTACAATGTGTATGATAATCAAGTTGGGCCATTTCCAGCACAAATCCAGGTTTTCTCACCACTTCCTGGACACTACAGTGCTAATAAACGATGGTCACATAAACACCACCCTATACCGGAAACCTACTGACCGCTATTCCTACCTACATGCCTCCAGCTTTCACCCTCACCACACCACACAATCCATCGTGTACAGCCAAGTTCTGCGATACAACCACATTTGCTCCAACCCCTCAGACAGAGACAAACACCTACAAGATCTCTATCAAGCATTCTTACAACTACAATACCACCTGCGGAAGTGAAGAAACAGATTGATAGAGCCAGAAGAGTTCCCAGAAGTCACCTACTACAGGACAGGCCTAACAAAGAAAATAACAGAACGCCAATAGCCATCACTTTCAGCCCCCAACTAAAACCCCTCCAACGCATTATTAAGGATCTACAATCTATCCTGAAGGATGACCCAACACTCTCACAAATCTTGGGAGACAGGCCAGTCCTTGCCTACAGACAGCCCCCCAACCTGAAGCAAATACTCACAGCAACCACATACCACACAACAGAACCACTAACCCAGGAACCTATCCTTGCAACAAAGCCCGTTGCCAACTGTGCCCACATATCTATTCAGGGGACACCATCACAAGGCCTAATAACATCAGCCACACCATCAGAGGCTCGTTCACCTGCACATCCACCAATGTGATATATGCCATCATGTGCCAGCAATGCCCCTCTACCATGTACATTGGTCAAACTGGACAGTCTCTACGTAAAAGAATAAATGGACACAAATCAGATGTCAAGAATTATAACATTCATAAACCAGTCGGAGAACACTTCAATCTCTCTGGTCACTCCATTACAGACATGAAAGTTGCTATATTACAACAAAAAAAACTTCAAATCCTGACTCCAGCGAGAAACTGTTGAATTGGAATTCATTTGCAAATTGGATACAATAACTTAGGCTTGAATAGAGACTGGGAGTGGCTAAGTCATTATGCAAGGTAACCTATTTCCTCTTGTTTTTTCCTACCCCCCCTCCTCAGATGTTCTTGTTAAACCCTGGATTTGTGCTGGAAATGGC